TTAATCTCGAAGGAAATTCATGCCAAGTAGCTGAAATTCATGGAAACACAGGTCCTAATGGCTGAAAATTCTAGGGGTCCCTCAAGAGACCGATGGGCCTAGAACCTCCCCTTCTGAAGCCTTGGTAGCTGGACCCACACCTGACCACTGCAGCCATGCTAAGGGCTTAATTTCACCCCGTCACTAATATTCTCTGAAGAGACACAGAATTTCAGGTGCCCTGGTGGCCAGACTGAGAACTCTGATGTCTTCTCAGAGTCAGGACGCAGAGCCTCCCCTAGCCCCAACCTGTACTTCTGGAAGTCCCGGCACCCACAGGCCACCTGTCATTTTTGTCACCATGTCAACTCATTGACTCGGACCATATCCTGAAGTCTCTGTACTCTGTGGCCATGTGACACCTCCTAATTCCTCAATACTGATTTTCCAGCAGAAGCACACCAAATTAGATAGGAAAGTAACATAGAAGACAACTAAACAAGCAAAAACAGTAATACAGAAGATACAAATGGCAAAAAACAGCTTAGTAAATTCTTAGACAAAGATGTAACAACCCTGTGGTGAGATAACAATTTTCACATAAAAATTGGTTTCTTTATACAGAAAAGCTCCAATCTAAAAATATTTAATATATGATTTTAATATTGGACTTTGTTATCTAATAAATTTCAACTCTAGAATTGTATCAACAATTGTGGCTGTTGTCTACATTAAAATAAATTTTACAAAAAAAGAAGCAATAGATTTTGATTTGGGGGCTATACCCAGCAGTGTTCAGGAGTCACTCCCTGCAGTGCTCAGGGCACCAGGAGGTGCTGGGTATGGAACCTGGGACTAACTTTGGGCAAAGTATGTGCTCCAGTCTGATGAATATCCGTGGCCTATAAGATATACATTTTTATGTAATTACTATTAGTAGTATAAAAATACTCCCCTTTTAAGTTTAGTTTTCTTATTAAAAGCATCCCAAACTTGCTAATTATTAAATGGACCATCTCTCAAGAGAATCACAAGTACAGATGTACTCCTCTGAGATTACACTAACTGGTTTTTGTTTATTTTGTTTGTTTGTTTGGTTGGTTTTGATATTATTCCTTGCTCCGCATTCAAGAATTATTCCTGTAAATGCTAGGGGGTTCATATGGGGTGCAAGGATTGAACTCAGGTCCACACCTTGCAAGGAAAATGCCCCCTACCCACTATAATATTGCTCTGGCCCTATACTAGCTCTTTAATGAGTCACATGGTGATCACTTGGGGTCTTGTTTTCCTACCAAACTGGTATGTGATGACTCCATCCTTTTTAGTAAGTATCCCTCACTTCATTTCCTTAATGGACCTTGATTAGATGGTTTTATTTGGTTGTTCAATGAAATATAGAACCTATGGTTTTAAAGGAGAGATGTATGAATATCGGGTGAATATCCTTTCCCATTCTGTAGACTGTCTTTGTATTTTGGTCCATGTTTCTTTTGAGGTGTGCAGAATTGGTTTAAGATAGTCCCATTTGTTTATCTCCATTTCCACTTGTTTGGTCAGTGACGTGTCATCTTTAAAGATACCTTTAGCTTCAATGTCATGGAGGGTTTTGCCAACCTTGTCTTCAATGTGCCTGATGGATTCTGGTCTGATGTTGAGGTCTTTAACCTAGTTTGGTCTTATTTTGTACGTGGTGTTAGGTAGAGACAAGGCACTTGTAGAACTCTACAAGAAGAAAATATCCAACCCCATAGGAAAATGGGGCGAGGAAATGAACAGAAACCTTCTTAAAGAAGAAATTCGAATGACTAAAAAGCACATGAGAAAATGCTCTTCTTCACTAATCATCAGGGAGATGCAGATCAAAACAACAATGAGATATCATCTCACATCACTGAGACTAGCACACATCCAAAAGAACAAAACCAACCGGTGTTGGTGCGGATGTGGAGAGAAAGGGACTCTCCTTCAGTGCTGGTGGGAATGCCGACTGGTTCAGCCCTTTTGGAAAACAGCATGGACTAGTCTCAAAAAGTTAGAGAATGAGCACCCATTTGACCCAGCAATACCACTCCTGGGAATATATCCCAGAAAGAAAAAAAGTATAGTAGAAATGATATCTGTATGTTGTATGTTCATTACAGCTGTTTATAATAGCCAAAATCTGGATAAAACCCGAGTGCCCAAGAACAGATGACTGGTTAAAGAAACTTTGGGACATCTACACAATGGAATACTATGCAGCTGTTAGAAAGGTGAAGTCATGAAATTTGCATATAAGTGGATCAGCATGGAGAGTATCATGTTAAGTGAAATGATTCAGAAAGAGAGGGACAGGCATAGAAAGATTTCACTCATCTGTGGAATATAAAGTAACGAAATGGGAGACTAAAACCCCAGAGTAGTAGAGATAAGGACCAGGAGGTTTGATCCATGGCTTGGAAACCGACAGCACAGTCTGGGGGAAAGGCAGCCCAGATAAAGAAGGGAACATCAAGTAAAGGATGTTGGGAGGACCCATTTGGGTTGAAAGATGCATGCCACAAATAGACTATAGACCGAACATGATGGCCACTCAATACCTCAATTGCAAACCACAAGACCCAAAAGAATAGAGAACAAAAGGTAATGTCCTGTGGCAGAGGAGGGGTGGGGTGGTGAGGGGTCATGTGGGGGTGGTGAGAAGGATACTGGGAACATTGGTGGAGGAGAATGGGCACTAGTGGAGACATGGGTAAACAATCATTGTATGACTGAAATGCAAACACTAAAATTCATAAGTTTGTAACTGTACCTCACAATGATTCACTAACAAAAAATTTTTTAAAAAATACCTACAGGCACAAAAAATATTTAACATGAAAAAATTTTTAAAAAATAAAAAAAATAAAGGGGATACTTGATGTTAGGATCCTAATGTTTGTGTTACCTCAAGATTCATTTGCTGGAAACCCAGAGACTGAAGTGATGGCATTAAGGGCTAAGACTTCGGGTACACGATTAGATCGATAGGTCAATGGGGGTTAATCTCATTAGTGCACTGAGAGACATCCCAGAGAGCGTGGTTTTTGCTGTTCTGGAAGGAAACAAGACTTCAGATAGAAAGAGGGCCCCCACCCAACCATCTCATCCCCTGATCTCTACCACTGAACAATGCATTTCTATTTGTAAACCACCCAATCGATGGCATTTATTATAGCACCCCAAACAGACTAAGACAAAGGGTTTAAAAGGGCACGTCAGAAAAAAATGGACTTTCCCCAGCACTTTTTTTGAAATAGTTATATTTCATTTCCCACACAAAACCCACACCCTTCTCTTGCTGTTGGCTAATATGGAAAGAAGCCATACCTATGAAAAGGAAAACTTAGCATTGCGCTCAACAATAACTCTCAGTGTGCTTTAATCCTGCCCTGCATCTTTTTCTACTTTAAGGCTCTCTCCACTTTGCTATCCACTGATCTCCCTCCATTCCATTTTATAATAGTCTGCCTAATGCTATAAAACATTTATGCCAAACATTTCTGAATAGTGATCTTATTCTCCAAAGTATCCTCTATCAGCTCAAAGTCAGTCTACAGATCTCAATCTCCAAGGACATGGAGTGGAGGGACCTTGAGAAACAGACACTGACATTTTAGTGGTGGCTGTGGTGTTGAAACATTGTATACCTGAAATTCTATCATTAAAAGAATTAAATCATCAATTAAATAATCAGGTCTGGAGCAATAGCACAGCAGGTAGGGCATTTGTCTTGCATGTGGCTAACCCGGATTTGATTCCCAGCATCCCATCTGGTTCCCAGAGCACCACCAGGAGTGATTCCTAAGTGCAAAGTCAGGAGTAAGCCCTGAGCATCGCCAGGTGTGACCCCCAAAAAATAATAAATCAAATTTATTAAATTGATCACTTAATCACTTGACATCCCATTACTCGTCTATTTGCTAGAGCGGGTGCCAGTAACGTCACCATTCATCCCTGTTGGATGCTAGTGTAGCCCAATGGCATCTGCTCGTTCTAGGAATAAAAAGAGCCTCAAACCGATTGTTCAGGGTCTGACAAAGAAGTCTGACCAACTCGTAGGTGGGCGACCACATGATCTTTTGACATCCCATGGAATCCAGTCGGTAATGGCTCTAGTCCAGCGGTCATCTCCAAATCTCATTACGTGTCCAGCCCATCTGATTTTCGACACCTTGGCAAATGAGACAGCGTCCCTGATTCTTGACCATTAACGGAGGTCGGAGCTCTTGTTTCTTTCTCTCATTTGAGTGAAGCATGATACTCCAAGCATAGCTCTTTCAAGTCCTCTTTGGCAGACCTGAATAGCGTTCTCATCCTGTTTTCGTAGGGCCCAGTTCTCCGAGGTGTATGTTAATGCTGAAAGAACAGTGGAATCAAAGAGATATGCCTGGAGCCAGAGGTTCTTCGTCCTCTTAGCTATTTCTTCAATGCTCTTGAAGGTGTTCCAAGCCGCTCTCTTCCTCCTGTGCAACTCAGGTGCCAGGTCGTTTGTCATGTTGACTTCTCGACCTAGGTACACGTTAACTGTTGCATTAGGAGATGTTCATTCCACTGAGAGTGAATGGAACATCAGGAATGAAACTGTTTCCATAAACATTGTCTTCATGAGATTCAACTGTAGTTCGACCTTTCCACACTCACAGTCGAAGTCGGCCAGCATTTGTGCCACTTGGCTAATGTTTGGTGTTATTAGAACGATGTCATCAGCAAAGTGGAGGTGGTGTAGTTGCCGAATGTCTATCTTCACTCCCAGTCCTTCCCAGTAATATTAAATTGAATAAAATTTAGTTTATAAATTTACAATACATTTATTAAATTTAATAAAATTAATTAAATTATTGATTAAATCATTAATGCTTTAAAAATCATTAAAAGTGAATCATTAAAAGTAAAACTACAGTGCCTAAATAAAAATCAAAATAAAGTAAAAGTACTTCTTGTTGCAGTGACTTTTATATGATAGTCTCCACTTATGCTTCAGTTTCCTCTCCTCCCAGGTTCTTGGATGTGGCTCTGTTGCCCAAACTGTCCTCAGTCGAGGAGAAGGTGGAGGAGTTGTCACCACTAACGTTGGCTTTGCAATGGCAGTTGTGATGGCGATTTATGTGACTGGAGGTGTCTCTGGTAAGTAATGAAAAAATAATAACTGCTCTCAACACATTCGCTCTGATGGGCTAACACAATGTTGGCTATTTGGTGTGCTTTTATTCACTTAGATGTCCACAATCCTGAAAGAATGTAAATTTGAGTCATTTGGCAGGGGGATGGAGTGGGGGGACGGGAAATGCATTTCACTCCTGGTTGTCTGCTCAGAAGTCCAGTTATGGCTTTCTGTCAGAGTACACACCTGGTAATGCTTGAGAGACCATATTTGGTGTCAGGATCCAAACCTACTGTGACTGCATACAAGACAAGCACCTAACCTCTGTTCTATCTTTTCAGTCCCTTAATTCTAATTTTATAGATGGCAAAGTATAAATTGGTAGCAAATAACAAGTGACCTGTATTAGCAATATTTAGCAAGAGGAAAGTGAGAACTTGAAACTCAAAACTTGCGACTGTATCATATTCTTCATCTGTAAACACACATTTTGATGTGCTTTACTCGACAACTGAAAGTCACTTCCCACTAACCTATGACTAGCTTAGTAAAGAGTCTCCAATAGAGGCAAGTCCCAACATTTTTATTATAGTGATCAGAAAATTTAGGTCTCTGGTGCTTTTCTGGAAAAGCAGTTTTGACCCAGAAAGTCCTGGTCCAATTCTCTCCTGAGAGGTGGGCCAGTTAGAAGCCATTCTCAGGGGTTTGAGAAGCAAAATGGAACAATGATAGTTAACACTCACCAGGAACTTCAGACTGGACTAGTGGGTTGGAATGATAGTACAGTGGGTAGAGTGTTTGCCTTGCACACGATCGACCCGGGTTTGATTCCCAGCATCCCATATGGTTCCCTGAGCACTGTCAGGAGTAATTCCTGAGTGCAAAGGCAGGAGTAACCCCTGTGCACCGCCAGGTGTAACCCAAAAAGCAAAAAAAAAAAAAAAAAAGACTGGACTAGTAATGGCCAAGTTGCCAAAGGCACTTGGGTGCTTTCAGAATCTGCTCTGAATGTTCAGAGCACTCTGAGAAAGAAGGAACCAAGGAACCAAGTAAGCACTGTGAGCCGGGAACAGGACTGGGCGTGGCATGCCAGTTCCTTTTTCTGTATTGCTGTTTCCATTCTACAAGAAACCAGAACTCCAAGGGATTGAGTAAATTGTGAAAGTGCCATAGCTGGTAAGAGGCAGAACAAAGGTCTGGTCCAGGTCTGCATGACAACAAAGCTCTGGTCGCTGTTACTACTCGAGCTTCCTACCAGTCCCATTGGAAGGTGCCTGAGAGGATTCAGAGCACTACTCTGGTGAAGCTATTGCCATTGGAGTTGTGAAGAATGACATGTAGACTCCCTGGGAGCCTCCTGGGGCTGGACACCTGGAATGGCCATCTGTCAGCCAGCACCCTCTCGATACCACAGCCAGACTTAGACAGGTTCCAGATTCCTGCCTCCGAGGCATGAGCGGAAGTACTGTTCTAACTTCTTATTGAGTCCTTACTGTGATGTCAGCCCTGAGGGGTCCTGGTGAGTGAATCTGGTCAACAGTGATGATGCACTTTTGACCCCAGGCACAGTACGCTCAGTTATGACAGGTCTACAGTCTGCTCTGATGCACTACATACTCCCTCTTCATCTTCACACTGTGTTTTCTGCAATCCTGGCCACGTAAGTGTGGGTACATTCAGAATTAGTTTTTAGGGAGAGACATTTTGTCTTATTTGATCAATGTCCCATGTTTTCTTAGGATGCGTGACACCAGATCCTACCAAAGTAGTTAATACCCTTTCCCACTCTCTTTGCCAATGTGTGTTTGAATCCCTTATATACTTGGAAATTCTGGTGGTCCTCTTAGAGGGAAAGGGGGGAGGGACCAACAGGAAGACCGAGGAAAGGGAGTTGGAGTGACCTGGAGTCTTCTCAATCAGCATCCAGATGGTGTTCAGACCTTCAGCTCAGGGGAACACGACCAGAAGTGCAGGGACTATTTCTGCTATAGATCACCTCCTCACCTCCTCAGGAACTGAGGACATATTGGAATACCAGCACTGGACAGAGCAGAGCCCAACTGAGACAAGGTACATCAGGTGGAAAGGGGTTTCTCTCATCTGAAACCTCCAGCTTTTAATCCGCCAGAACTGGTGTCCTGGGGAATATGCAGACAACACATCTGCTGGCCAGCCAGTAACTTCCATTCAAGGAGGCCACACTGCAGAGTAAAGGGCAGGTGCGTGCGTATGTGTGCGTGCTTGTGTGTGTGTGTGTGTGTGTGTGTGTGTGTGTGTGGTGGGGAAGGGGTCTGATATGGGTGTTGTGTTCATGTGTGTGTGTGTGTGTGTGTGTAATCTGTATGCCATGTGCGTGGTGTGTATTGAATGTGCATTTGTGGATGGGTATGGTGGCATGTGGGTGGATGTGTGTGACAGAGTGACTTGTTTATACCCACTGCAGCTTGAAGAAAGGTTGGCTGACCCCTGGCAGACTTCCAAATGCGACTCTGGTCACACTGGTCACACTGCCTGGCCTTCCTTCTGGTTGAACTTAACAAACAAGGCATCATTGTGCAGAGTCCCCTATGAAGCCTCTCACTGGCCACCTGTAGCCAGACTTGACATAGTCTGCTCTTGACATAGCATTTTACAAGAAATTCACATTGATAGGGAAAAGCAATAACAAAGGTTATCTTGATTCCAGAATCACCTGTCGGTAGAGGCAGAAGGGACCTGTTCTGGACAGAGAGAGAGAAGGCTCACCCCGCTCCCATCAGACACCCGCCCATGGCAAGTGCCCCAGTCCCTGCTTTGGTCACTCGATGGGAATAATCTGATCTGGCCTTTGGTGGAGCTGCAGCCTAAGAGCTACCCTCTGCCTCGGGTACTCCTGTTCTTTCCACTCAGAAGCTCTGCTGTGTTCTTGGTAAACTGATGACACTCACCTCTGCATGGGGGCCTGTTCCTCCCTGCTCTGCACCCCACTTCCAGGACTGCTCCCAGATAGACCCTCTCTGGCCTCTCCATAGACCTGCGGTCTGGTACCTGACCAAACCCTTCTGGCTCTTTCATCAACCTTCATGCCTTCAGCCCGTATTAAGAGTTTGACATCACCAGTCGGATCTCCTGCTTCGGAGTGCAAAGAGACACAAGCCCACCTTCCTGACAACCAACTCATTGTGGGGACATTAGAAAGCATTTTCCAGTCTTTTTTATTTTCTCCTTTGATTCTTCTTTTTGTTTGAGGGCCATATCCAATGATGTTCAGAGGCCACTCCTGAGAGCTCAGGGGGCCATGAGGTGTTGGGAGGGGGGTGAGATCCAGAGCTCATCTCCCTAGGCCCCAGCAGTGATTTCTCGGGTTCCTTTTTTCCCCCACAGGATTCACCTCCTGTGTGGTGTGACAGTAGCTGGCCAGGGGCTATTCCCGACAGTCTCCAGGAGCATGGTTTGGGGGAAGCTTCAGGAAGTTTCCAGGGCCCTGGGCTCTGCCCTGTTCTTCCCACTCTGTTTGTGGCTTTCCTTGTAGCTGAGCTTCTTTAGTCTGAAGTTGAACCCAAATATCCAACTAGAGGACTGTGAAGCAATAACACAGCAGGTAGGGCTCCTGCCTTGCACACAACCTACCTGGATTCTATCTCAGGCATACCAAACAATCCTCCAAACTTGCCAGAAGAGATTTCTGAAATCAGGAGTAACCCCATGTTGGAATTATGGGAAATTTATTTATGGGAATTATTTATGGGAAACCATTATTAATAGTATTGTAAATCACAAAATTTAAGTCTACTAAAACAGTTTAAAATAAGAATTTAAAACAAGGCTTCAAGCTCTACTACAAAGCGGTAATAATTAAAACAGTGTGGTATTGGAACAAAGGCAGAGCCGCAGACAAATGGAACAGAGTTGAATATCCTTACACACACCTTCAAATATACGCTCATCTAATCTTTTTTTTTTTTTTTTGCTTTTTGGGTCACACCTGGCGATGTACAGGTGTTACTCCTGCCTCTGCACTCAGGAATCAACCTGGCAGTGCTCAGAGGACCATATAGAGTGCCAGGAATCAAACCTAGGTCGGCTGCGTGCAATACAAATGCCTACCCACTGTGCTATCGCTCCAGCCCCATATGATAATCTAATCTTTGATAAGGGAGCAAGAAATGTGAAGTGAAGCAAGGAAAAGCTCCTTAACAAATGGTGCTTGCAAAATTGGACAGCTACATGAAAAAAAAAATAGGCTCACACCTCTACCTAACACCATGCACAAAAGTCAGATCAAAATGGATTAAAGAGCTCAACATCAGACCATCAGGTACACTGACGAAAAGGTCGGCAAAATTCTCCACAACATCAAAGCTAAAGGTATCTTCAAATATGACACACCACTGACCAAGCAAGTGGAAACAGAGATAAACAAATTGGACTATCTTAAACTAAGAAGCTTCTTTCACCTCAAAAGAAACAGTGACCAGAATACAAATACAGTCTACAGAATGGGAAAGAATATTCACCCAAAACCCATCTGATAAGGGGTTGATATCATGGATATACAAGGCACTGGTTGAACTCTACAAGAAGAAAACACCTAACCCCATCAGAAAATGGGGTGATGAAATGAACAGAAACTTTTTCAAAGAAGAAATCCGAATGGTCAAAAGGAACGTGAAAAACTGCTCTTAATCACTAATCATCAGGGAGATGCAGATCAAAACAACAATGAGATATCATCTCATACCACATAGACTGGCACACATCCACAAGAAAAAAACCAACTGGAGTTGGTGCGGATGTGGAGAGAAAGGGACTCTCCTTCACTGCTGATGGGAATGCCGACTGGTTCAGCCCTTTTGGAAAACAGTATGGATGATTCTCAAAAAATTGAAAATTGAGCTCCCATTTGACCCAGCATAACCACTTCTAGGAATATATCCTGGAGAGGCAAAAAATATAGTAGCCCACTTCTACTTTATAGTAGAAATGACATCTGCACTTGTATGTTCATAGCAGCACGATTTACAATAGCCAGAATATGGAAAAAACCCAAGTGCCCGAGAACAGAACAAAGTTAAAGAAACTTTGGTACATCTGCACATTGGAGTACTATGCAGTTGTTAGAAAATATGAAGTCATGGAATTTGCATATAAGTGGATCGACATGGAGAGTATTATGTTAAGTGAAATGAGTCAGAAAGAGAGGGACAGGTGTAGAAAGATTACACTCATTTGTGGAATATAAAGTTACATAATGGTAGACTAACACCCAAGGATAGTAGAGATAAGGACCAGGAGGATTGCTCCACGGCTTGGAAACTCACCTCCCATGCTGGGAGAAAAGGCAGCTCAGAATGAAAAGGGACCACCAAGTAAAGGGTATTTTGGAGAGCCTGCTCAGGATGGGAGATGCATGCTGAAAGTACACTATAGACCAAACATGATGGCCACTTAATACCTGTATTGCAAACCACAACACCCAAAAGGAGAGAGAGAGAGCAAAAGGGAAAAAGTCTGCCACAGATGTGGGGGTGGTGATGGGGTGGGGGTGGTGGGAGGGATAATGGGATCACTGGTGGTGGAGAATAGGCACTGGTGGAGGGATGAGTACTCGATCATTGTATGACTGAAACATAAGCACGAAAATTCGTAAGTCTGTAACTGTACCTCACAGTGATACATTAAAAAATAACAATAAATTTTAAATATTTTTTTAAAAAAGGGCCTGAAGTGATACTACAGTGGGTGGGCACACTACCTTGCATGTGACCAACCCTGGTTTGATCTCCAGCATCCTATATGGTCCCTAAGCCTCAGCAGTATTGATTCCTAAGCACAGAGCCCTGAGTACTGCCAGGTGTGGCCACCCCTCCAAAAAAAAATTTAATAAATAAAAATAAAAACAGTTGCCGTGTTTATATGCTTCAGGCAATGGTCTCTGCTTTGAAATATTGGCTTTGTCTTGTTTACATTAGCTCCTGAATGGCACGAATAGGTGAAGAAAGATAGCACTAGTTTACTTGGCAGCAGAGCTATCTTCTGTGAGCCCCAAAGAACACCTCTTTCTCTACAGGGGAAAGGTTTCCAGAAACAAGCTCCTCTGCAGTCATGTGAGTCAAATAGTCAAGTACCAATAAGCTCATCTACACCATGCTTTAGGGTCTGAAGTCCCATATTTCAACGAGGCACAGGACCAAGGATCCATTTTCACACAAATGTCATTTGTTCTTTCCCAATGAACATCCTCCATCCCAGAGTGAGCCCCTAAGCTCAAGACATGGAGTTTGAAATTCTTTATTCTCCCTCCCTTAAAGGAAAAGAATCTTCCAAAAACATGGTGAAGAAGGCCTAGACAAGGTATAGGTGCCAAGTGTAGACAAACCTCTTTTGTAATCCTAGTACTATAACTAATTAACCAGAATATCTGTTTTTAAAAACATTTTTATTGAGTCACTGTGAGATAGACCCTTAAAAGGTGTTCATTATTGGGTTTCAGTCATGCAGTATTCCAAAACCCATCCCTCCACCAGTGTACCTTTCCCAGCACCAGTGTCCCCCCACCCCCATGTGCCTATGGAAGGCACCTCTCTTTCTTTCTCTCTTTCTCTCTTTTTCTCTGTCTCTGTCTCTCTGTCTCTGTCTCTGTCTCTCTCTCTTTCTCTTTCTCCCTCCCTCCTTTGGTTTGGAATACTGATACTGAAAGGTTATCGAGAATATCCCTTTACCTATTTTTAATGATCATTTCCAGCTATTATCGTCATACTGGTTCTCTTCTCTATCTTACTTTCCCTTAGCCCCCACCCCCCCGCACACACTTGTGGTTAGTTCCAACCATTGACCAGTCCTCTTAACCCCTGTTTTCTAACCAGGCAATCTTTATAAAGGATGCTTTGTTCCTGAAGACTAAGGGGGTCTTCTTTCATGTAAACTGGAATAGCAGCCATCTCATGTGAGGGTTGCCATTGTTACTATCAAAGTAGGTACTGCTACTAGTACTACTTACTACTAGTACAAGGAGTAGATTACTAATAGTATTGCCAGTACTACTAGGTTAAGGTAGTAAAGTGTTGGGGAAATTGCTGATCCAGAATAGATAAGACCCCCTATTTGATCTTATGACTAGAAGAGACTTCAGGAGGCTGGTCTCTCTTGCCACAGTTGAGATGGGGCTAATGCATGTGTTATTACTTCCCTGTATGTGAGAAAATGTATTGTTCACGCAGAAGACCTGGGCAAAATCCACTCAGATTGACTGTGCCACCTCGGAATCAGTGGAGCATCTTCTCTCATTGAGAGCATAGTGAGAAACAAAGATTGTTTGCCCTTACAGAGATAGCAATGTCTTTTCCAATCTCAGGACATGGACAGACAGTTGCTAAGTACAAACAAAAACCTTTTAGTACATTGTATAAGTATTCTGAGTTTTTTAAAAGCAATAGAGTTAACAGTTTGCAAAATCTCATTGGGGCTTTTGCTTTATTGATTGTTAAAACTGTGTAGGTTGATAAATGAATAGATGGATGAAAACTATTTAGCATAAAACTTTTTCTCTATGTGTCATTTGCAGAAAACTAGAATTTCCAAACAATGTCAAATTATGCCATGGCATACTAATTCTCCTTTCCTACACACACACACACACACACACACACACACACACACACACACACACATGCACACACGCACACACACGCCAACTTTCTTTTGAGATACAGTTCTCTCCCTTTCTCTCCCTAGATAACCAAGTTTGGTGAGTTCAACCTGAGGTATTTAGATAAGATCCTTTTCATCATGAATTCTCCTTGGCCACATTCTGACATTCCTATCTTATCTTCCTTACAGGTGGCCACATCAACCCAGCTGTGTCTTTTGCAATGTGTCTCTTCGGACGAATGAAATGGTACAAATTGCCCTTTTATGTAGGAGCCCAGTTCCTGGGAGCCTTTGTAGGGGCTGCCACCCTCTTTGGCATTTATTATGGTGAGCAAGGTCTGCAGTCCAGGGGTTAGAAGTGAGCTGGGAATAGTGGGAAAGTCAGAATGATTTGATTGCAAGAAATGAGAGAAGGCAAGATTAAGAAGCGGTTTACAATTGAAGAGCATATTTTCAAATTGACAGTTCTAAGTTTGAAAATATGGCCAACCTTACTAGAAGGAAAGCAAATTCTTTGTGAAAATGGCCATACTTAAACGCAGCTGGGGCGGGGCTTGGGGTAGGGGTGAGGGAGGGTGGGGGTAGAGTTGGGAAGATCTTCAAGGCAGCCTCTATTCAGGCCCAGCCAAGGTTGCAGGGCTCTGAGCTCTGCATGCTCAGATTGAGCAGTGAGTTTATGCTTCTCCACACCTTTCTCTGAAGCGCTGTGCAGAGGGGGCACTGACATTGGTAAAGGGTGTGATGAGTGAGAATTTAAAGAAGGAATCCAGAGCAGTCTGCAGGTAAAAGCTTAGCAGAGGAAAGAGCTAATTGGCCAGCTCATTTGCTTTCTGTTTTAACAGCCAGGACTTCTCACAGTACCAGTCCTAGGGATAGCAGTTCTGATCAGTATAGAGTTTTGTGCTGGGTCAGTGAGTTGCTGTGTGACTTAAATAACTCATATGGCATCATGTTCTTCTCTGGGAAATGAGTATATTGAACTAGATAGGGATTTCTTAAACTTTGTCCATTTGCAATCAATGCCTTTGCATCAGAGAAATTTTACAATTTCTCAACCTGTATACAACCCTAGATATATAGAGTATATAAAAACAGGTGTCCAAATAAAACATGTTTTTATAACTAATCATAAACTTATTTTAAGACAATTCATTTTGGGAGCCATACCCAGCAGAGCTCAGGAGCTACTCCAGCTCTGTGTTCAAGTTCTCTCTCAGGAAGATTCCTGGGAAGTTGCTCCTGATTGTGCTCAAGGAATCCAGCAGTGATGAGGATGGGACCTCACCTTCTACACACAAAGCACGTGCTCAACCTGTTGAGGTCTCTCTCTGGCCCTAGAGTCAAATGTTAAGATTGTTTATGATTCCCATATTCTATATGGGACTGCAGCCCACAGTTTAAGAAGCTGGGAACTAGTTGACTTTCAAGCGCCTTCCACTAAAAGAAAATGAAAAAGAAAGTGGGGGGGGGGGGGGAATTACATGAACCTAGGCTATCAAAGCACCTTCTGTCTAACACAACTGGGGGACTTTAATTATGAGCCAAATTTTAGAAAGGGAATCTTTCCCATAGAGTGTCATTCTAAGAGGCAGATTCGAAAATACCAATGTTTAGTTCTAGACCAGACAAGAAATCAGACAACTGGCCACTGTTCCATGAGTGCCCTTGTCTGCTCTGGTGGGCCTACTGTTCTCCTTGATCTAAATTCTAAGAGCTTTCTTATTTCCCCATAGCACTTTCAAATTTTGGACTTATAATAAGGGTTGCTGTGAAGACTCATAAAATTATGAATTTCTTCCTAATGTAGGTCTAAACCCCTCCTTTGTTTTTTGTTCTTGTTCTTTAAGATGGGTTGGAGCAATAGCACAAAGTGTAGGGAGTTTACCTTGCACGAGGCCGACCTAGGTTCCATTCTTCCGTTCCTCTCGGGGAGCCTGGCAAATTACCGAGAGTATCCTGCCCGCATGGCAAAGCCTGGCAAGCTCCCCATGGCATATTTGATATGCCAAAAACAAGTCTCACAGTGGAGACATTACTGGTGCCTGCTCAAGCAAATCCATGAACAATGGGAGGACTTTGCTAGAGTGCTACAGTTCTTTGAGATACACCTGTAATGCTCAGGGCTTACTACTAATTCTGTACTTAGAGCTCACTCCTGGCAAAAGTTAGGTTATATTATGTGGTTCTAGGAACTGAACTGGGACCACCCCCATGCAAGGCAGATGATTAAGTCCTATTATCTCTTCAGCACCAAGATTATCTTTTAAAAATTCCAAGAATTCTCCCAAAAGATTTATTCCCAGGATACAGTGGGTCTCTTAAATGGAACCACCCAGTCAAGGCAGGGCTTATATCTGTGACTTCCCTGTGGAGATTTCCCTGCACCTATCTAAAACAATGACTTTGTAAAGTGAACAAAAGATGCAAATTATCTGGCTCTGTTGATTTGAAGCTGTATGTCTGAGTGTTGTTGTTTGGCATAAAACCTGACATAAGTCTGTCCCACCCGTGCCCAGGGTCCACTAATTTGTCAGAGCTCTGTCCTTCCATAGATGGATTGATGTCCTTTGCTGGTGGAAAACTGCTTATCGAGGGAGAAAATGCAACAGCTCACATTTTTGCAACATACCCATCTCCATATCTGTCTCTGACGAACGCACTTGCAGACCAAGTAAGTGGACATTCAACAAGGACCTAACTTTGAGAAAAGACATCATCTCATAAGAGGAATATCACTTATAGGCCTTATAAACCTGTGAGACAGGAAAGGATGTTACTTTATGGCCTTTTGGGGAATGGGAAAAGACTTTTTAAGAACTCTTAAGGAAATCCCAGTGCCCTAGGGTGGGAGTATGAAATAAGGCACCTTTAAGAGCCTTTCGAGGATTTTAGATTCTACTCTTTGGAAACTGGTGCCAGAAGGGGGAAGGAAGGTAATTATTTTATAAACTTGAAAAACATGAGAAGGCAAAACTGAGAGAAAAGAAAAATTACAAGCTTTCTGATGTCTATGGGTATCAATCTCTCTAAGAGAAAGGGTGGCCAGGAGTCTCTAATTTCAGGTTTCTGGAATCCACTCTCCTGAACTGATCTTTTCCTGCCCCAAGCTAGTTTTTTCTCCCTTCCTCTCTTCCCTCTAAACTTTATTCCCACCCCACCTCCACAGAATTTTATAGAATTTTACCTTTCCCTATTACTATTGTAGACATGTTTCATCAGCATCTTCCCACACAAAAAAAATTTGTTCTTCTGGTTAGCAGCGATCCAACCTCAATAAAGATTAATCATATTTTCCCTGGTGTTCATCCATATATCACTGCTTCAGTTTATTTCACTGTTATCCATTCTTCCTTAAGTGTTCATGGTTGTAACCAGTTAATATATATACATTGATATACGTAGATGTAGAGAAATATAATATTAGAAACCTTGATTTTGGCGCTTTGAGTGCTTGCAGTCTCTGAAGGTTCTGTGTCCTTAGGTTCTGAGGATAGTCCAGGCTGGAACCAGTTGTCAGTGGACACCTAACACAACTCTTGGACAAAAAAGCCATAGTTCTGTCACCTGCCAAGATTAGTCACTTATTTTGTTTTAATATTATAATAGCATATTCTATAATTTAATTAATAAGAAATTATATGTTGGACTAGTAAGGACTTACTGCCCAGTAAATACTAATTAGCATACTGGTCTGTGTGTCTTCTCTTCCAAGAGTTCAGTCCTGCTGTTGACAGTCAGACAAGTCACTCTCTTGAGATAGTCAGGCTCCCAACAGAAATAATGTCAGATTGTGATGGGAACAGAGGGGGTAACTATACCTCTGAAAACAACTACAGAACGTAGAAAAGACAATCAGCTCAGAGCCTGGTTTGATGGAGAGACACACAAATCCAGACATCTGAAGTTGGTGACTGCAGCATGAAATGAGAGGGAGAGGGATCAATTAGTAAAGAGACTCCCACCCCCAGCATGTCGTGGGGCATACCAATCATCATTACTGTTGGTGAGTTTGACCCAGCAGACAGAGAGAGGACAGAGACTGTTTAAAGCACAGTTCAGCTTCCAGACAGGGTGAAATATTTAATTGCTGGCAGAAAATGGACCCTGGGACCAAATGCAAACAATCCAAAGCCAGAAAAATTAAGTCTGGATTTTTATGTTAGCAATAATTGGAGCAGCCAAATTCCCTCCACCTCTCCTTTAGGAAAGAGCAAAGCAACTGGTTTGCAGCTTTGTTGTTGTTATTTTGTTTGTTTTTGACATAAGGAGAGGTCAGGAGTAGTGCTGAGAGCAGAGGTGCATTCGAATTTTCCCTGTGGATTGTTGCCCTTCCACCTCCCACTGGCAACACCACTTCATTGCACATCTCCTCATCGCCATCACCACTTTCCCTTTATGGACATCGAAACAGATTTGCAGCTCTAATCCCATAATTCCCCCTGCTAATCCAGATGTGTAAGCAGAAAAAGAATCTTTAAGTATGATGGATCAATAAGACTTCATTAGACAAACAAAAGCTAATAGTGTTATGGAAAGTAGCCTGATTTAACCGAAAGGAACAAGTGGCACTCATGGAGAAAAAAAGTAATAATAGCAGAAATTATTTATAACTGGCAAATACCTAGAGAAGCAACTCAAATCTCATGCTCTGGGCCTAGAATATAGGAAAAACAGGGCTTTTATACCTTTTTTCTTTTAGACATAACATCAGGCAAGTTTTTCAAGGATCCAGGATCCTTCAAGTGCGTACATGTTGCTGGGTAAAGTGCAAAACCTTTTATATTTTCCTTAGAAAAGACACATATGCTACTCTTGTTACAGTGCTTGGCTGTGGTATCTTACCCAGGGCAGTGTGCCTGACTCATTTGAGAAAGGGAAACTCGAGGATCCAAGCATGCTGAACTGTCTGGTTGCACCAGATCTGGCATAAGTTTCTGTCAGCTAGTATATCTGTAGCATCTGTAGTAGTGATCATAGGAGTTTCCCATAACAATAGAGTTCACCATCACCTCACCTACAAGAAACGTTGAAAGAATTTTTTTTTACATAAAAAGAAATGAAAACACAGTAACAGAAACATAAAGAGCTGTGACATGAACAACTAACAGAAGAAGAGGGAGAAAAGGACAGGATCTATAGAGTCAACTGATGAGGACCTAATACCCCAATAAAATAACTTTCTAGAAACAAAGGATGGGGAGTGGGATGGAAAGAAATAAAATTGTCATAAAATAAGATGTAGAATGACAGTAACAAGTCCTACGTACCAACAATCACCTTCAACGTGAATGGTCTGAATTGGCCAATTAAAATAGGATAAATGCAGCCCCCCAGCCCATCCCCCACCATCTCATCAGGCCCTCTTCCACATCTCAGACCCTCTGCTTGCTTACACAACCTTCCAGGTGAGGTTAAGCTTTTGATGGACATCTCCAGGGCCTTTTAGAACTCGAAACAGATCTCCTCCCTTCCAGGGTCTCCACAGCCTCGGTGCTCCATCGCTACCTCTCAGCCGATCCGCACCACACCACAGTCCCTCTGCACACAGAGCCACACAACAGCTTTACTCATCACAGCTCACACTGCTCATGTTTGTACCTCCTACTGTTGGGTGAAGTCTAGGGAAGAAAAGGAGCAACACCAAACAGAATCCCTCAGAAATTCCTAAGACAGTTAACTGCAAAGATTCACCCTCAGCACAGCAGGAGCACAGTTAAAAACAACGCGAAGGACACTTAGAAGCCCAAAACGCAGTAAGTGAAAATAATGACACAGAAGGCTCTACCTGTATCAATCAGTTCATAAGCCTTGTTGAGGATGATTAATGTTCTCAGAGAAACATGGCACAAGTAGTAAATGAAGCAGAAGTCTAAGAGGTCAGAGCAATAGTAGAGCAGGTAGGGTGCTTTCAAAACAAGCAGCCAATCAGGGTTTGATTCCCAGCACCCCACATTGTCCCCTGAGCCCACCAGTAGTGATCCCTGAGTGCAGAGCCAGCAGTAAGCCCTGAGTACTGTCAGGTGTGGACCAAAAAACACAACAGATTTTAAACTAAAATATAAAATGAGAGAAATTAACAACAACAACAACAAAATGGAAGTAAGTCTCAAGCATATGGCAACTAAACAACATGTTTCTACATAACTTTGGGCTCAGTGACAAAATCAAAGGAGAAATTAAAAAGCTATTACCCAGAGAACAGCAAAAACAAAAACATATATCAGATCTCACGGGATGCAGCAAAAACAATATTAAAAGTGATGTTCATTGCAGTACAAACCCACATCAGTAAGTAAGAATAGTTTCAAATGAACTAACCTGCAGAAACAAATGGAACCCAAAATAGCAGAAGGAAGGAAATTATTAAAAGCAAATGAAATATTTGTAATAATTGGTAAATAAAATTAAATGAAAATAAATGAAATAAAACAAAAAGAATGATACAAAAATCAGTGAAATGCTGATCTGCTCTTTCAAGGGATCAACAAGATTGATAAACCTCTTACTAAATTCACCAAAATAAATAAATAACAGAAGGTAAAAGAAACCAGAAATTAAAGAGGTAAAGTTACTACATTTAGTACAAAGGATCATGAAAAAATAGTAAGAAGAGGATATATAAGAAAATATTGAACCACCTAGAAGAAGAAATTTTTAGAATAACCCCATTATAAGCAAGATGAACCTGAAAAAATAGAAAGTTTGAACAGATCAATACAAGTACAGAAATCATAACAAGGATCAAATATCTTAAATTCAAAGATAGAGAGCGTCACCATTGATTTCTATAAACCTTTTAAAGAAAAATAGACATGTCCATGTAATTTAATCTATAATATAGAGCTTAATATCATAATAATTTTTAATATATATTTATTGTATTGTTTCCAGTGCCTCATTTTGGTCAAATTAAAAATTGAGGACTAGAGAAAGGGAATTGATCAGCAGGAAGAGGTTATTATCAGCTCCTTTTGACTTTTATTTATTTATCTACTTTGACTTTGGGGCCACACTGGGTGGTGCTCAGCAGTTACTCATGGCTCTATACTAAGGAATCACTTATGGGGGGCTTGGGTGCCAGAGATTGAATCTAGGTTGGGCACATGCAAGGCAAGCACCCTACTCACTGTATTATTTCTCCAGCCTCTAATTATGGTTTTTATTTTTTTAATAAGTTTTTTATTTTATAAAGTAGCTCACAATATTTTTTTTTTGCTTTTTGGGTCACACCCGGTGATGCTCAGGGGTTACTCCTGGCTCATGCACTCAGGAATTGCTCCTGGCGGTGCTCAGGGGACCATAAGGGGTGCTGGGAATTGAACCTGTGTCGGCCATGTTGGCTGCATGCAAGGCAAATGCCCTACCCGCTGTGCTATCGCTCCAGCCCCAAGTAGCTCACAATATTTCATTACATTTAATATTCAAACACCAATCCCATCACCATTAATTACACCTTCCCACTTCCCACCTACCATATTTCGGATGTTTCCATCCCAAACCCCAATCCCTGCCCCAAAGCAGAACCAAAATAATGTTTTGTATTGTTTGTTATGAAAAACTGCTGAAAATGCTACCAAAAAGTATCCTTAGGGGAAAGAGGGTGAAGATTGTGTATTTCATCCAGAAGCCATTAAGCCCTTCTATAAGAGATCACTAATATATTGTTAGAGGTTGAGCCTTGTGCGCATATATGTGTGTGTATACATATATATGTAAAAAATATATATTTCTCTCTAACATTGGTTGCCTCCTACTTTGAATCTCATCAAATGTGATGCAGCACTCTGAGAGTGTGGGTACGGTGTGTGATATGAAGTGTTCAAAAATAGGTTCACTTGTGGGTGAGGCTCGGCCCAAGGGTGCAGAGAGTGGCCATGAGCATGGTGATGGTTGATTTCCGGGGCTTTTCAGCTTCAGGGGCTGTGTTCCTTGGGGTGGGGAGGGTTCTCATCCATCCGCCTCTGGGACCCCCCGAGTGAAACAGCCTGGCAGGATTCTGGTGACATGGTTATGGCAAGCATCATGTTATGCTCCCTTCTGGGAGAGAAGCTAATTATTGTTTTTAATAGATGCACGTTAGACTATAAAATGAGCACATTATGTTCTAGCTTTTTCCTTATTGATGCATATACAGTTGACCTCAAGGTTTTTTGGTACTATTCACTATGCTTAAGTAAGCATATTTTATTATATTTTCCCTCATTTTAGATTAGTTCTCTAAGTATAGTTCCAAAATTCCCAACTGAATCAAGTTGTACAGCAAACTTTTAAAATGCCTACAATTTAACTATCATTGACTTTCCTTTCAAAAGTGTAATGCATGTTCAGTTCTACTAGGAAAGTCTGAGCTAACTGTTTTATTTCCCTTAGGATATATTTTTTCATTAATAGTTTTGGTAGTGACCAAGAGATAGTATGAGGGTAAAGGTGCTTGACTCGCATCCGGCCAATCTGGTTTTGATCCCCAATGGCTTCCTAAACACCACCAGGAGTGATCCCTGAGCAGAGTCGGGAGTAAGCCATGAGAACCAATGAGTGGGAAAATCAGTTTGGAGTGTTAGAAAGAAAGGTTGAGTTCATGCTTTACATAAGGATCAAATTTACATTTGATCCCTGGTACTTCATGGTTCCTCTAGCACCACAAGGAGAAATTCCCAAGCTTAGAGCTGTGAGGGCCCCCAAGCACCACTGGGTGTAACCTCCAAACAAAAACAAACAAAAATATCTGTTTTTCTCATTTGTCCCTTAAATTTGTTTTCCTTTTTCCCCTTTTGCTTTAATTGAAGTAACATTGCATTATAGCATGCACAGATCAGGTGCCCATAAAAAAAAAAAAAACAGAATACACGACATTAAGTTCACTGCTGGAAATCCAATTTTACTATACATTTTGACCACCCAATTTACCTATTTCCAAATCCTCTTACCTTCCTTTCTAATGACTACTAATTTAGTCTTCTTAGAGAGTTGATAGGCTTATTTTTGTTTTACTTAGTTCATCCATCTGAGTGAAATAATAAGGTATTTCTCTTTCTCTGTCTGGTTTATGTCACTAAGCCCAGGTCCATCTGTTTTGTAGCAAATGGAGGTATTTCATTTTTCTATATAGAAATTTTAATGGTATCATTCCATTATGTGTGTATATATATGTACATATATATATATCATATCTTCTTCATGGGCTGGAGCAAATAACACAGAGGTAGGGCGTTTGCCTTGCACGCAGCCGGCCCGGCCGAGCCGGGTTCGATTCTTCCGCCCCTCTCGGAGAATCTGGCAAGCTACTGAGAGTATCTCGCCTACATGGCAAAGCTTGGCAAGCTACCTGTGACGTATTCGATATGCCAAACACAGTAACAATAAGTCTCATGATGGAGACGTTACTGGGCCTGCTCAAGCAAATCGATGAACAACGGGAGGACAGTGCTACAGTGCTATATCTTTTTCATACAATGTTAATTGGCACTTGTTTTTAGCTCTTCATTATTGTTAACAATAAACATAGAATATATATATATATGTCCTAGAATTGAGTTTTTATTTTCAATTTTTATTTAGACAGGGTTATTTACAAAATTTTTCATAGTAGAAATGCTTCAGGCACACAATATTCCAGTAGCAATTCAACTGCCAGTGTCCTCTTCCCTCTGTCACTGTCCCTAGGTTTCCTCCCATCATCCAGCTTGTCCCCTTGGCAGGCATTGGACAAATTTATTTCTTATTACTTTCTCAAATAAAACTTAAAAACTGATAAATAAAATTATCAGAAACTAAATTTATAAGTCTATTTGTGATGATTTATTAAGTTATTTTAACCAATAAAAATAAGATTATTTCATTATTGAAAAAATATAAAATCCCCTAGCAATTTAGGAGTATGCATGCCTTTCTTTATCTCACAGAGGGCAACCACATGCCCTGTTAGTTACTCAGGGACACGTGTTGGGAAATTTGCCCTGACTTTTAGGTAAGATTTTATGATGCAACACTGGTTTCAAGGTTATGAATTCCCTAATCTGTTGCCTGTCCATGAAGCTCTGTATCATTCCTTAGAAATATGAATGACATTTTAGCTGGATAGAGTATTCTTGGGAAGGTGTTCATATGGTATTATACCCCTCCATACTCCTCTTCTGGCTCTTAAAGTCTTATTTGATAGTTTTAATGTACATTATATGGGCTTTCCTTTGTATTAAGTTCCAGTTTTGATCCTGCTGTTTTCAGTTTTCTGTATCTGTCTTTGGATTTCATCATTTTGGATACAGCATGTCTTGGATTTTTCCTAGTTGCATCTATTTTTCCTGGGACCCTTCAAGACTCTTGGGTCTTAGTGTCTGTAATCCTCAATTCTGGGAAATTTGGTCATTTCTGAGTGTAGTAGCATTTTCATTTATACTTTTTTGTGCTTTGCTGAGCTTTCTATATTGTATTATGCCGTCATTTCTTTGAGCTCATCGTGGTGCCACTAAAGACATTGTATGAGGATTTATTGGTATTGTTTATGTCCTTCTTGATACTGTTTTCACTCGTTAAGCTTGTTGGACTTCTACATGGTTACCTATTGGTTTTCTAGTATTCTTGCTGTGCTGGGCTAAGTTTTCATAGTTAGAGCCCTTGGAAGAAGCTGAGGGATTAGGCTGTGGTTGCGCTCTCTTTACCCTGCCCATCTTCACCAAATGACAGGAAGAATAACTGTGAGAAAAATGTAATTTGTTGAATAGATCTTTTGCACAGCCAGGTAAGTGGCCATGTGCCTTATATGGCACAGGTCAAGTGTGAAGGCTGCTGGGTCCTAGCCAAAAGGGAGAGACTGCCCACTGGGTCTAATCTCCCCATTCCAGATTAGGCCCAGTGATGTCAGCCAGAGGCAAGCCTCACCTGTAATGGCAGAGCAGTAACTAAATCTGTTTTTCTTTAGAAGTTTGTATTGATTTTCTTTGCCCATTAAAGTCTTTCTTGATTGTCTCACTATTTGGAAGTGGATTTTAAGTTTAATTTTCCAAGCTGCTGCTTCCCTATTTAGCTGGGTAGTAGCTTTGTGTGGTAAAGAGAATAATATCAACAATCAATTTCCCTGGGTTCCCTCCTGACTGCTTCTTACTAAGCATGTGACCAAGGGCAGGTAACTGATCTGTAAATAAGAAGAATATTAACACCCAGGTGTAGGGTTGCGTGATAAGAGGAGCACTTGTGCTCACCCAGTGTGTGTGTTAGGTATGTTTCAAATAATCAGGGATTAATTTTGAGGTAAACAATTTTGCATAGTACAAACTAACATCCATGCACATTTTCTCCCTCCCCAGGTAGTGTCAACCATGTTCCTCCTCATGATTGTCTTTGCTATTTTTGATACCAGAAACTTGGGAGTACCCAAAGGTCTAGAACCCATTGCCGTTGGTCTCCTGATTATTGTCATTTCTTCATCTTTGGGACTGAACAGTGGTTGTGCCATGAACCCAGCTCGAGATTTGAGTCCCAGGCTTTTCACTGCTTTAGCAGGATGGGGATTTGAAGTCTTCACGTAAGTATCAGTGGGGGTTGGGACTAAATAGGAGCCACACAGCTGCCTCATTGGGGTTATGAGATCAGAGTCTTTGTAGTTAGAGCCCCTGGAAGAGACTCACACTTTGAGATGTGAGAAGGGAGAATAGAGGCTGAGCAATATATTCTGGTATGTTCCAGATACCAGAATATATATTAGGAAATAATCTGGTATACATATGGAAGATTTCGCTGGTGATATGGTACACAGTGTGTACATGTGAGAGAGAGAGAGAGAGAGGGAGAGAGCGTGAGAGAAAGCAACAGTAAGAGGGACAGTGTGAGAGTGACTCAGAAGGGTTTCAGGTAAATTCAAAATAGGTAGATAGCTACATTAGATACACTTCCTGCTATAAACAGATTCCCTCATTGGTATATTTTTATGTAAATGTTTTTATCAATTTACTTACCTGCACACTCACTTTGCAATAAAGTTGAACTATAATTTACATTTTTTGGTGGTAATAAAGGACACTTTCTAGGGAACCACACAAGCTACACACCATTCATTCATTCATTCATTCAACAGATCTGCATTGAACACTATGCTATGGTCTATGTGCCAAGCAATATTAATGAAGACACTAGCCTTAAGCAATGTAAAATCCTATGGAAACACATAAAATATAATGCTGAGAGGAATGCTTCGTAGATGATTAACTGTTGGGGGAGTTGAGAAAAAGTCTGACTGTATAAGTGAAAGTTGCTTTGAGTCTGATGAGCAAGAAATTCCTGGCAGGAAAGACGTCAAAGAGTGCATGGGAAATGGCAAAACCCATGATTCCTACCTCAGAATGTGCTGAGGTTATATCCAATGCCAACACAAACTTCCCCAGCACAAACTTTGTTCATTAACTCCTTCCCATTTTCTCCCCAAAGAGCCTACCTCAGCCTAACGTTCTAAGAATGATGGTAGTAGGGCTGAAGTAATACTACAATGGCTAGGATGTTTGCCTTTCATATGCCAGACCCAGGTTCAATTGGCACTACATATGGTTCCCAAGTTCTACCAGGAATGATCCCTAAGAACAAAGCCAGGAGTGAGCCCTGAGCATTGCCAGGTGTGGCCCATAAACAAACAAAAAAGGAATTGGTGATAGTTATAAGATAGACATTTTGCCTTTGTGCTCTTTTCTTTGATAAGTATGTAGTATATCATGTCAATGGGAAAATGATGCAGCTGTCTAATGTCAAATCCTAAGCTCTATTACCCTCCTTAATCTAATTGTATTTGCCCTGTATGTACTCATTTGTTATCTATAAGGATACCAGATGCATTCAAGGCCCTCTGCTAAAGGTTCAGACCAAGATGCTGTTCTTCTCTGCTTTATGTTGGTGACGGTTTTGTTTTTCTTGCTTCAGAGAATTGACATGAGCTTTACTTTAAGACTAAAGTTATCAAGTCCAATAAAGGAGACTTGATTTATTAACTCCAGAAATTAAGATAAAGTTTGAGGCTCCAAGTTTTAGGTTTGGGGAGCAGAAGTGGGGCATTATATAATATTGAAACATGTCTAATGGAGGGACAGAGGATATTTCAGACCAAGAGAACCTTATATGCAGAGACAGAATTTTAAGAAAGTAAAGTGATCTAGTCTTACTGGAAAGCTGCATGAAGAAGGAAGGAAAGAGTAATTGTAAGATTTTCCATACCATAATGAAAATGGGGTGTGTGGGGGTAGAGGGTTGCTCCTTCCTACCTATAGGTTATGGAGAGCATCAAAGGAACTAGAGCAGAAGTTTTACATGATTAGAAGAGCTGATAAGCAAAAGTGATTCTTGTACCACTATAGAAGATATATTAAAGTGGGAAGAATGGAGGAATAGAAATTAGTCAGACAATATTTAGAAAAGAAAGAAAGAAAAGAAAAAAGAAATTAGTCAGGAAGACCTAGGATTGCCAATAAAAAAGTGCCAAGAAAAATTTTTTCAGGAAGACATACATCCAAAATGTCCCTCGGATCTCTCATTCTTTCAGAGGTCTCTCCTAAATAAGTACTTTGTTGGATATCCTAGTTTGTGCAGCACCCCATTTTTCAAATAAAATCAAGCCCCCCTGTTTTCATTTCTTCACTTGTCCTTGCATGCCAAGTGGTGGAATAAGAGGCTGGAACAAGGTCAGGAACTCATGGACTCAGCCTGATTCTTAACCTTTCTTAAAATGTGAGGGTTCCTATTCTCTTGACTAATTCTCAGTCAGGAATTAGTGACTTAATGGAACAAACGTCTTAAGGAAGCTGTTGGATTTAGCTATTTTATCCAAAAGAACAAATTTCTGATGATGGCACCTTAAACAGTTAACAGACCTTTTCTTGGGATTAATTTTAAATCAAATTAAAAAGTGATAATCCCTTTGATAATGATCAAATGGATCTATAGATTTATTTGGATCCTTAAATCCATCATACAGATGCCCCTTAGAGATGCAAGACCAGGCGGGCAGGTATCTCTTAGCATCTCCATTTACAACTTACTATCTTGGAACAATGAACACTAAAGGAAGAAAGGGCCCCACCATGGCAGATATCTTTGATTCTCCTCTGTGAAATAATAGAGATTCCTTATGAAAGAATGACAAAAGGAAAGAAATTATGGGTAGAATGAAGTGCCTCGAACACTTCATGAGTAAAGTAGAAGCGAAATGCTAGGTTTAAGTCTATGTGCCTGTTATCAAAAACTTCTAGATTTGGGAGTTTGGTAAGGGCAGCCAGGAAACAGTCAACCCACTTTCTCTCTCCCACGAAGCACGAGTGACATCTGGTGGCCGCTGTGCTTGGTGCTCTTTGCTGCATGAGCTCAGGTTAAAGATGGTCCGAGCTCAGGGCTCAGGGAAGCACTGAACTGAAGGGTCACTCATGTGGAAGAAATTCAAATGGGAAGACTTTTCTCAGAGGATTCTAGATCTCCCTGAGCTTAGAACTAGATCTCATGAACTCTAGAACAGGGGTTTTGTTTTCGGTTTCTTTCCTTTATTTTTATTCCTAGTGGGAATTTTATTTACACAAACAAAAGGCCCTGTGAGAGAAAAATGAAGTGACTAAGCAAAGCAGCAAAAAGATGAGCCACAGATTCTTGCTCCAGCTAGAACCTGTGAAAATTTTAGGTGCTTCTAGCTGCGCAGTCCTTCTGGTTTCCCATCTGCCAGCACCAACCTGAAATTTTGTGTTTATCATTTCCTGTGTTCAAAAGATTTTCTGTACTTTCACTAGCTTGTGAGCAACATGAAATTTCTATGGACTTATTTAATGTGTTCAAGAGATGGTGAGTAGTCAGAGAAGTTCCTCCTTTCTCCTTGAACTCTATCTTTCGTATAAGATACTGACATTAAGGATTTCCAGAAGAAAGACTCATTAGCATAAAATCCTATCAGAGAATGACTTTAAGCTGCAACCTCAAAAAAAATAAATCACCAAATAAATTTTATTTAGGAGGTAATTCAGCTGTCCACCTTTGACTTTTTTAATTCATGTATTTATGGATAAGCAGTTTCTGATTGTTTAGTTTGACTTGCTCTCACTGATAAATGATATTCAGGAATTGCCATGAATTCTTTTCATTCCTAATCCTCTAGACACATTATTTCAGATGAAGGAAAAAGAAATCTCTGAGTAGTCCCTCTGAATTTTCACCTAATTCTCTTGATTCTGGTTATGATTTCAAGACTCTATTTTCCAAAAAGAAAATAAGTGGGACGTGTACTCTGATAGGTACAAAAAGGACACTGGTATACCTGAAATCAGACGGACTGCAGTCTAGAGTGATGTTTCCAAGCTACCAGGAGTGCTCTAATACTTGTTCAAAGGGAGCCCGAGTATGCAAAAACAAACTGGTTAGTTAATAGCCAAACAGTCCTGCCAAAAGGAATGCCAGTAATATCAGTAATTTTTTGTTTTATTTCAGAGCTGGAAATAACTTCTGGTGGATTCCAGTCGTGGGGCCTTTGGTTGGTGCTGTCATTGGAGGCCTCATCTATGTTTTTTTCATTGAAATCCACCACCTCAACACAGACTTCAAGACTGAACACTCCGAGGACATACCAGAGAAATACGAACTGAGTGTGATAATGTAGTGCTCAGTTCTGGGTTTGCTGTTGGCTAAGCTGGTGCTCTCTTCAGAAAAGATGTCATCCAGGTGTCTGTTTTTGTGCCTGTAAGATGAAATCCACACAGTTCCTCTGCTAGTAATGTAGGACCCTACCTGGAAAAGCATCCGAATGAAGGTTTGAAAGCACTGACCGCTAACCTTCCAGCTTCCCCCAGAGTAGTACTGACCATCCCCAATACAAACTCTCTCCTGAAGTTTAA